TTCAGGCAATTTGTAATCTGTTCTAGAAAAACGATGTGTTTTGGGATATTTGTGGAGTTAGATGGTCCGTGAGTGTTTTTGTATTGGTTAAGTGGTCCTTGGTATGAAAAAGTTTGAGAAACACTGATTTAGACCAATGGGTCCATTTGGGTATGGGCACGTCACTGTACCCAGGAAGAAAAAGAGAAATCTCCAACGAGGCGTTCTGGGGCAGCATAGACAGGTCTTTTCTGTGTTAGAGTTTTACTTCCTACAGGGTGTACTTTGAGGGTTTGTGGTTTGCAGACCGTTTACATGCATAAAAGCCTTCATAACACACAAGGGGACGGGTAGTAACCGGAAAAGCATGACATGGGACCTTTCAGTTCATTTAGTAGAGCAAATAAAAGTCAACGTGCAGAGACTTGAAACACAATGAACAGTTCACTGCCATATTTTCTTTTCATCAGTCTTGTGTTATCATTGTGGTGTAATGTATGTGACAGACTGCTATGAAAACGTTATGACTGCCAAAAAGCATTGTTTTCATAACCTTTGTTGTGGGAAAAGAAAACTGAGAATAATAAGCAAACGCAGTTGTTGTGAAAATAGTACAATTCATTTGGTTATTGCTTGTGTTGTAAAGGCTGTTATGAGGCTTTCAAATATCAGATGTCATAGTTTCAAGGTCCGCCAAGCAAGGAAAATTCCTTGCTCGCAGCTGCATTACCTTAGAGAAATAATCTAAAAAGTTGGTGAAAGATTAGTTTTGATGATTTAAAGATTGCTTTCAAAGATTCAAAGTCTTTATTGTCATATACACAGTAGCTACACTGTAGATATGGCAATGCAAATATTAAGTCCCATGCTCCTCGAACAATGCAACATAAATATATATAAGACATAAAACAATTAAACAAATATAAAAAACAATAAAATAGTGCAAGAAGAAACAGAGTGGGATAAAATAGTGCAAGATAATCTTGCATGCTTTACTTCAGTTGAGAAATCAGAGTAAAAACCTCAAATCTGCCCTGGATGCAGTTTTGTTATTTGGGCTATCACCTACAAAACCACTCATATCCACTTTATATTCTTTGCACTCAACACAAACCAATAGGTGATTTTTTCGCAACTAACAGGATTTATTTCCATTTTGTGTGTGACCAGGTGTGAATATGCTCCTGAGGAAGATTGCGGTGACAGCGGCCTCCAGCCCGGCAGTGGAAATCACCCAGCAGGATGACAGTCTGTCCATCAAGACTTCCACCAGCGTCCGCACCACCCACGTCTCCTTCACCGTGGGCCAGTCCTTCAATGAGGCCACAGTGGATGGACGTCCCTGCACGGTACACATTCCTGAATAATATCAATGCATGCATACCAGCATTTGGCAAGCTATGCACAGAAGAAACATATGGAAATCATTTTGGTGCAACTCTAGAGTCAGCCCTGGTGATAGCACATGGATCTGTTCTTCATCAAACTTTTTCCGAGTGATTGATGAAGGACAAATTCCTGACAGGCCAAAAAAATGTCTGATGTGTAGAAATAGGCACGCTAAGCTCCAGTTATAATGAAGGAAAAGCGACTTTTAGGACTTTATAGGCACTTGAATGATTTATATTCTGCGTTCTTTGAATCCCTGCAGAGTTTGCCTAAGTGGGAAACAGACAGCAAAATAAGCTGTGAGCAGACTTTACAGAAAGGCGATGGGCCCAAGACGTCGTGGACTCGAGAGGTAACCAACGATGGAGAACTGATACTGGTACGTATTTCTGGTAATTATTGTGTATAAAGCACCGATACATGACCTTATAGATAGAATGTAAGATTAAAAAAGACATTAAAATGATAATCAATTAGCTTTACAAAACAAAACACTGGTTGAGAACTTTTATAGATCATCTATAAGCCATAAATAAAAACAACTTGTATTGTTTACGGTCATGTTAGATATGTGAGCTACTTGAATTATACTACAAGGGTTTCTTCCTGCTTTTTTCATGAGATTCAACTTAAAACTAGTTCATAATTTGTTCCCTATGAGAAAAGTGAAAACCATTTCCTTTTGTTACTGTTTTCTTTCAGACAATGACTGCAGGGGATGTTGTCTGCACCAGAGTTTATGAGAGGGAATGAGGAAATATTTTCAAGACCAACATGCAATACTCCTGTTTTGTGCCTCATGCATGGTTTACATTTACTCGCCTTGTTTTCTCCTTCATTCTCTCAGCCATTCTTATGTTGATCTCAAACAGTGCACTGTGTAGAAAAGGCTTCAGTTTACATGAATGTATGTTGGCACAGTAGTTGCTTTTATAACCCCTACAGCTGAACTGTTTCTGTATCTTATATAAACGTCACACATTCCTTTTCTGAAAGCTGTGTTTAAATCCTTTTCAACATGTTAATAAACTGTTTTATAGATTCCTTTTCAAACACTCGTTCTTTATGTCGCCTCCTCCCATTCCCTTGTCGTCCATCTGCATATCACTTTACACCATTGCCTGCCATTCATACTCTCCAGATAATCCCCACCCTTTCCCCCTCCATCTTTCCATTCCCAGTCCAGTACCTTGTCCTCTGTGTGCTCTTATGTCATCATAGCTCACTACAGTATGTATTCAATTAGACTAAAAACTCCCACTTACACAATTTATATTTTGTAAACTTTGCTTTGAGGGACATTTGGCTAAGACCAGAAGGAAACAGGGAGTGGGAAGGACAATGAGAGTTGGAAAGAGAAAGATGTCATGAGAAAGTTATTTCAAAGCATCCAGAGAGGTTATGCTTTCTATTTTCCCCTCTCCAGCTGAACCTACTTACAGAATGAGCTCAATAAAAAAATCCCCCACTCTTTTTGGTTTGGCTTTGCACTCAGGTACAAAGTGTTACGTGGCTTTCTCTTACACTGTTCAAGAAGATTTCCAGCTGCTCCCTCTCAAAAATGTATTTCTAACATTATGAATGCAACATATTACGCAAACAGGCTTAACATGTTTAGACATATGTAGTATTTAACAGTAGAGTCCTTCAAATATTTTGTTTACTCAACCAAAACTCAACTGCGTGGTTCAGCATGTGACAGACTGAACCTCGATGTTATGAATGGACCTTCAGGGTTTCTCAGGCACTTCCTGATGAGAGTGCTGTAACCGTTATGAGATTGTCAACACTGCTGCATTGTGCATCCTTGTAGCAAGTTGAGGTTTAGCTAGTTTTAACTACTTTACACACATTAAGGTCAATATATCCAGCGGTTCCAAACCTAGGGGTTGGGCCCCTTAAGGATCACAAGGTAAATCTGAAGGGCCATAAAATGATTAATTGTGCAGGGTAGGAAGAAAAAGCTCAAAACTACACCAAATTGTTTGATAGTTTGACCTTTTCTCGAATATTTACTATTTTATGCAATATTAAACATATTTTATATTTATTAAGATAAAACCAGTCAGAAGTTGTCTCTGACCAGCTTTTTTTCAAGAGGGTCCGAACTATGGTTATGCTGACCACTGATGATATATGTTTTTATTTGTAAAATCTTAATCTGTAAAATAACTTGTATCGAAAAATGTCAAACAAATGCAGGGGTGTAAACAAGTAACGGAAAACAAAAATGCACAAGTATGTATCTCTAAACTGTATTTGAGTTTAGTACTTTCCACTAATTATCTGCAGAGTGTGTCTGCGGATAGAAAGTATGCATGGCTTACACCACTTCATTCATCAAGTACGTGCTTTCATGTCTCCCAGGCAGAAAGTATGTTTTCAATAGCCTCAGTTAAAACCCATGTTATGGCGTAAGAACTTATCAAAACCACAGCGCTTTAACTGCACTCTAGAGGAGATGGAAAGTTCCTTGCGAAATAAGAAAATTGGCATTGCACACACACACACACATCCAAATACACAAGATGCATAATTCTGTCTGAATTATCCCTTTGACTTTTGGTTGTTATAGCTAGGAGCGGTCTACAGCGCCCAGTGCCTCCTTGTTAGCCGGGTCACTTTCCACATACAACCGTTAGCCAGTTCATTCCTCTGGCAGTGACATCATGGAGCCTTTCTTTGCTCCATTGGCTGAAGAATGCTGCGGTTTTAGGACAGGGAGGCTCCCGGAGTCCAACATTTGAATCAGATCCATCTGGACCAATCATGAAACGGCAATTAAAGGAAATGATGAGTCAGACCCGGGGCATGAGGACGAATGAAATGTGTGAGCAGGTTCAAGCAGACCTCACAAAAGTTCAGCTAAAGATCATTTCATCACTACTTGACTTCTTAAAAGCAAACATCTGTAATCTTTGGAACCCTTTTTCCAAGTTGTATGTGTGAGGGCTATGCTTTTTTACTTTTAGATATAACGCACAGTATTGAGCAAGATGATTTTTCCAAACTTTAAGCCACCTAAATGAGAAATTAAAGAATACTGGATGCATATCTGTTATCTTGTGACCCCTTAAGGCGATCCCGACAAGAACTGATCTACATTAGATGATATGTTTGTCTAGATCTGTTCATAAATAACAAAGTGGGCCCGAAATGGGGAATGTACAGTATGAACAGGACCGTGTGAGAAGTGTTTATGTGCGTGACAATCTGACCTATGTGTATGTATAGAAATCATATGACTGCCTCTATGGAAGGCCCTCACCCATGTGACCCCATTAAACTTCTAGGACGAAAAAAAGGGAAAGAGACCAGGCTGGATTGTGCATTAGGCCATGAATTGAGTATAAACTAAAGGTGTAATCCTTTCTACTGCTGCTCAAAAGGTGACTGAAAGGGTCATATATGAGCAGTACAAAGAAAATAACTATATAAAAGTCCTTTAGGCATGCACCCTTTGTACAAGCCTGAAAAAAATCAAATCAATTGCATGAAAATAAGATTTATTGAAGCAACAATGCTTCAAGATGAACTTCAATTACATGTTTAAGTGAATGTGTCAAAATAAAAGGATAAACGTTTATTTTTGCTGCACTTGAAAAATACCTACTTACCTGTGGTTTAAAGTCCCTCATTCTTCATGAGAAACACCATGGGCTGAGACCAGAGAAGTAGGGGAAATTATTCCTTCAATGCACAAGACTGACATCTACTGGAAGAGGAGACAATTATCTTTTTTAAACTGCAAAACATGAAGTAATTGTTTTAAAGTTGAGTTGTTCCTTCAAATCCTGTCTTATATATACTATAAACAAAAACAAACATATATGTTTGTTTTTGTTTAATTTGGAATTCATTTAAAAAAGGAAATGTACAATTAAAAACGTATATGTTATGTAATTAAAGACAAAAAGGAACGTCCTTACCATTGTTTTATATACATTACCACAAATTATGATTAATCCGTGTATTTTCTGCTATGATACAGGAACAAATACTGTTTATAGTAGAATAAATAAATATGTGAGCTATAAAAAGATTATTGTTATATGATTGTTATTAATAAATGTTATTATGCATCGATTGATCTTTTGGGGATTTTATTCAATAAAATGTATATTTATAAAATTCTGAATTTTTTTTGGCAGCACATGCACGGCCCAACTGCTCTCACGTGCTTGTCTGCCGCAGCAGCAGTCACATGACCGCCAGACTTGTGCTGGTTACTTCCGGTTCCTCGGCTGTTTTTCTTGCGGGAGAAAGCATCTGCTCTGCTATGATCCGGATCCTGACAGCCCGGGACTAGAGAGGAGACACACACCGGGGAACACAGCGTTCAACTTGTCCGTTACCGTGTTCACCTGTTCCCAAAACTGTGGAGAGATGACCACCGGAGGGGCGGGTAGCTTGTTGACTGGATACACTGACTAACACCGCCCTTCCTCTCGATTAACAAAAGAACCAAGCGCATCTTTTTGATCTGCTGGAAGAGACTAGCAGCGAGCGGTGGCTAATTGACATTAGCTCCCCTTTCCATAACACCAAGCCATCGATATGTCAAAATACACAAGCTTTCCAGAGCCAATGGAGGACCCCAACCCTTTCCAGGTGGGTGAAATGAAATATGAATATAATGTAATATCCTGCCTCGGTGCAGTGTTTTAATTGTGTGATGTGCAGAAGTCCCTGATGTTGGCTCTGTCTAATAGCAGGCGTGTTGTTGCTCATGTGACGTGTGTCCCTTTTTGCCTCGGCCTTTCCGCCCTCCTTTCAAGCTTTGCCCACTTGTAGCTCATATTATTAACGATGAACACATCAGTAGAAGCCGCTCAGGTTTGTCGAATTTGAATGAATGTTCCATTAGGCCAAGTCACATTTATTGATGTGCTAATTAACCCATAAACCATTTGTTTTGATCTTCTAGGACCCTGCAGTGACTCAACACAGCAGCAACACGGGTTATGCCACACTGGACCTTTACAACCCGTTTGATAACACTACTGGGCCTGGGGTGAGTAATATCTAGTATTATCTGTGAGATAATGGGGGATATTTGCTGATAGTGTACTGTATAGATAATATAAAACACAACAGCTTCCTTGTGTGTCATGCCAGGGCTTGTCCCGTCTTGTTTTCTTCTGTGAGGGCATAAACTGTACAGTACAAAGTGTGAAGGGTACATGAGGGCAACAAAATGCTATTGCCTTAGTTTTTTAAGCTTTAACCCGTTTTTCCATTATTTTGGTGTTTATTTGATTGTTTTCTATTAATTTTATTGTTTACGTCTGATAAAATTAACTGTTTTGTTCAGGTTTGATGTAAAGCAAATGTGCTATATAAACAGAAAACATATATATAATGTTGACAATCATCATCAAACACATCTTCATTCAGTTAATTTCAGATTTGTGACAAAAAAATGGAGAAACAGAAACTGGCTCCACATTTACTTCAAGGTAATGTGCAAGTCAAATTAAATGATGCCACATTTAGCAGCAACATGAAAAAAGGCAATTAGTTAATGCGAATGAATTGCAATTTATTAAATCTTCAATCCCATACTTATACTTTTTCTATTCAGATGTCTAATATGTTTACTGTGTCTATCGGCACGCTTTCAGTTTTCAAATTGCAATTTAGTTTCACTTCCTTCATTCCTTCTATTTGTCTCCCTGAACAAATCGCAGATGCTTGCAGTTTTGTTTTTTGCAGCCAGTCTATACTAAATTGGGAAATTATACCACCTTAACGCCTTCATTCAATGACAGCAGACCTTGAGCTTAACTGGTGCGCTCTACTGACATGCATTTTCTTTATAAGAATAACCCAAACTAGCTAAGACACAGTAAGGCTTTCCTTTCCTTTAGAAAGATCCTGCTCAATGAACCTTTAATGAGAACACTTGATGTTGTAATATGTTCATCAAAGACCTATCGCTATAAGCAGAGTAGCCGAAATATACATTTGCTTTGCGATATACATGATTCTAGAATTGAACATCTTTGCTGCTCCTAGGAAACAGCTTGGGTTCATGTGTACTTCCTGACAGCTGTTGATATTGGCAAATACTGCAGCAACAAGAACTACATTTGGACTTGAAGCTGAACTAGTCAGAACTAGTCTTTGTAAATCTGTTATTGAAAGCTTCATATATTGTTGTAGACATGAACGTCTCAATTTGATACAAATAAATAGATACATTTCAAACTCTGTATTTCAACTCCTCTGTTGCTATATTGTTGTTACACAGCTGCAGTTTAGTTTTTGTTTGAAAAAAAAGGTTAAAGTGTAAGGCTGGGCATTGTGATACAAATAAATATCCCAATATTTATTTACCAAATTCCTCTGCAAAATTGTAGGGATTACTATTGTTGTTTTCATTAAATGTAAAGGAGAAATGTGATGATAGAAGAAGTAGAACATTTGATTCAAGCTCAGAAATGTACATCCAAGACAATATCCCATCTCATATTGCTATATCAATATAATATTAATATATTGCCCCGCCCTGTTTAAGTGTTGAAGTTGGTGCATACAGGATGAGGTCACACTGATGTATGATGTCTGTTTCTTTCTCCAGCCTCCACCTCCGTATGAAGCCACCTCTCCCTCTGTTCCACCTGTGCCGGCTCAGACTCCCCCCAGCAGGACGACGCCCACTGAGCCTCGCAACTATGGCTCCTACACCTCCCAGGTACACATGCTGCCGAGAAGAGACACAGTTGTTTCCTTTTTATGTTTCCTGAAGTATTTTTGTGTGGTTATAAATGCCGCTGCACTTCTTGGCCTTGTTTTACTTAAAATAATAGATTCTTAATCTCAATGGGAGTCCTTGGTGAGAAAAAAAGGCTCAGTGTTTATATATGAATTTTCATGTGAATCTCTTATAATAACAGATCGTTAACACAATCCTTTTTATTATTTATAACTGGCACAACCTCTCTCTTTGAAACTTGATATGCAGTTCTAATTCATCTTCTACTTTATTTCTTACTCTGTTAGACGGCAGTGAACGCGACCACAGCAGAGCTGCTGAGGAAGCAGGAGGAGCTGGAGAAGAAAGCCCGGGAGCTGGAGAGGAGAGAGCGGGAGCTCGAGTCACACGCCCTGGGACCCGGAGCCAGTAAGAGAGGGAGGCGGGAAATCAATGCTTAAGATACCTAAATGTGTAATTGATTTAGGGAGTTAAAAATAAATTGCCTTGATTGATGATTTCCCACTGTTGTCTTCATCAGACCGTCAGAATAACTGGCCCCCGCTGCCATCGTTCTGCCCTGTGGGCCCCTGCTTCTACCAGGACATCAATGTGGAGATCACGCAGCACTTCCAGCGCACCGTCACCATCATGTACTACTTCTGGATGTGTGAGTTCCTCTAACCTTTACTCTGCACTGTTGTGTGAATTATCAGCATCAGTGTGATAAAGTTACTTACGGTGCTTATCTGGGGCAGTATTAATAAACAGGGTTTGTGATTGAAGTGAAAAATTGAAGTATTCACCTGCTGACACTTTAGGAAAGACACTTGTCAAATCATTCTTTTTTGATGCACTGGTCAATCTTGAGGGTTTGAGCAATTTTGCCTCTTTTTCCGACTAGCGGAATGAAAACACCCAAAATACACATTTAGTATTTTCTCCTTAATCCAACTTAAGTTAACATTAGATAATGTCTCATATACATATCTAAACATACATTTGAAGTTATCAACTAGCAGATTTAGTGGTGATGTATATACATGTTTACCCTATTCACTTGTTATGTCTTGCAAGTGTATAACATATAATAACTAGGGCTGTCGAACGATTACAATTTTTAATCAGATTAATCGCAGCTTAAAAATTAATTAATCATGATTAATCACCATTCGAACTATGTCCAAAATATGCTATTTCTTTATGTATATTTTTGTGGGAATGGAAAGATAAATGAAAGAAGGCGGATATATCCATTTAAGATATATGTATGTTAAATGGATATATCCGTCTTCTTTCATTTATCTTTCCATATTTTACATATAATGTATGTTTATTATAACATTGTTCTGTGTGTCAAAATGAATGACAGCCCACACACCTATCAATCATCAAACCGTGGGGTCTTATTTCATTACGTATTGATTTCTATCAACACGTAATGTTGTATCGATGTATATAGAGATGTACTACAGCAAAAGTATTCTCCATCAGGACTTCCTGCAACAACACCACGCCGTTATCTTGATTCTGATTGGCCAGAAGACATTATCAAAGATGTTCTATTGAGAAGACGATCACTACGTGACAAAAGTTTTCAAAACCGTTTCTAGTCTTCGGTATTTCCAGACAAGTGGCTACTGAAATCAATCTTACTGCTGTCTGTGCAATTTACTCGGCGCAAGTTGGTGGACTTTATTTTGCTTACTTTAACATCATTTTTCATGGTGGGGCTAAGGTGGGGCTAAGCCATTCCTTGGTATGGCTGTAGCCTACCCCAGAGCTGCCACTGGTGGGATGTATGGGGCGGGCCATTCTGCACATGCGTTAAATGCGTTAAATATTTTAACGCAATTAATTCAAAAAATGAATTACCGCCGTTAACGCGATAATTTTGACAGCATTAATAATAACTATATCTTTTTTTAATCATAGTTGTTTTCAATCTCTTACCCACACATCTCCACTTCAGCAGCACTTACATACACAAACACTTCCAGTTTCACTTCCTCCGTATTCTAAAGTTGTTTTTATGGCTTTTGACCGTATTTTTAGATTTATGGAGTTCATAAAAAAAGAGCTATGCCAACTTCGTCTGTAAAAACCTCAGAGTTTGATGTTTCAAAAAATGTACCTTTAATTTTAAACCTGGCTTTCAGATTTCAGCTCCAGATCAGGGTTTCCGCTAGGATTTGTTCTTGCCGGTCAAGTGTCCGTAAATAATTTATTTTACCGGACAAATTCTAAACTTACCGGCCATGTTTCAATAATAATAAGAATTGTGTAGCAGAGTTTCCGTTAGCAGGTAATTTCCGGACTATGACGGGATATGCTGATGTTTAAAACTCAGTTAATGGGGCTCATTTTTATATTGCTTCAGTTTATAATCGTAACAGATCGAAAAGTTATTAATTTTCAATAAATGATACGCTTCCCCAAACAACAAACAACATCATTATTACATTCAAACAAACTACTTATAGTAGATGAAGTACATTATTCAAANTGGTTATGTCACTGTACCCAGGAAGAAAACAATGGAAAAAGAAAAATCTCCAACGAGGCGTTCTGGGCCAGCATAGACAGGTCTTTTCTGTGTTAGAGTAACTCTAACACAGAAAAGACCTGTCTATGCTGGCCCAGAACGCCTCGTTGGAGATTTTTCTTTTTCCATTGTTTTCTTCCTGGGTACAGTGACATAACCATGCCGAGGTCCAAATGGACCAATCCGTGGAGCTCCTCACACACACACTCACTCAGCCTTATCTTTTCTCAGGCTGTGAGTGTGTGGCGAACAGCCTGGCTGTGAGTGTATGTGTGTGCTCCGCGGTGTCTCGCTGTCTTGCAGACCCCACGCAGCAACCAGGAAACGACACCAGTAATCCAGCTCACACTGTCTGCTCCTCGATCCTCAAAGAGCGGAGCAGCGAGCCCCGCAACGTCCCGCCAACACGGCACCCAGACCCCACGCAGCATTCTCATCTGTTTGTCCTTACTGGTGTCATTTTCTGGTTGCTAACGCCATTGTAACACATAATCACTGATGTTCCGCTGTAACGGAAGTGGACTCATCAGAACAGAGTGGGCGAGCTGACCAAACAGAGCACAGTGGGCTCACAGGGAGGGGGGGGCAGGAGCTCCAACAAGCCGTTTAGGACAGAGAGTGAATACACATACTATACAGAGATGCTGTATGAGAAACCAATGTGAGTTTGGAAAATTGCACAATGTAAATCTATTCTAGCATACCTCAACAATGGAATTATGATCAGTAAAAATGGCCATGACATGGGACCTTTAAACCAGGGAAATGAAGCTACGTTTTTTTGGTATTTAAAAAATGGCTGCCAGTAAAGCAATGAGTTGTTTTTAATGGGTTGCAAAATGCAAAACCACTGGTATGGTCTTTTAACCATTCATTACTGTGACATTGTTAAAAACTTCAACACAATATCGAAATTTGGCCACTACCAATTCAACTAAAAACTAAAATCAAGCTGGATTCATTTGAACCCTTATCACAAAGTGAAAGTGATGCAAATGTGTCTTAAGTTCTCTCTCTTTGTGGAGCTTTTGCATATCTTTTTTTTTGTGTGTATTTCATATTTTCAATGTTTTTGCAAATGTGTGTGTTTTTCTACCTGCTTTGTATCTGTTGTACTTTTTGTGTCTATTTGTGATCGTTTTTCATTTCGTTTGATGTCTGTTCTATAGTAGTTTCATGAATCTTTGTGGTGGTTTTGGATATTTTGTGGTCATTTTGTGTCTCTTTGTATTCGTCCGTGTCTCTGTTGTAGTCTCGCGTCTCTATGAGATTTTATCGACTAATTTTCTTTCTCTTCGTTGCCTTTTTCAATAAGAAGCTGCAGTAAGGACTTAGCATTGGTAAGGTGAGCAGCAAGGGCCCCCCTGCCAGTTGATTCAAAGAGCCGCTCTGGCCCTGGTGCGCTAGCCCCTTCGGATCTTGAGCGTGGTAGGGCCATTCTCTAATTTATCCATCTGTTGGTGCTGGATTGGAAGATGTGATGTTTTAGGAATCTAAAAAAAATGTAAACGTCCGTCCGTTGATGGTTAGGTTTTTGAAATGACCGATGTGAACTGGAATGCCACATAAAGCTCAAGGCTACCCCACAAATCTGATTTAGTAAAGACCATATTTGCTCATGGGGTGGTACTCGAGGCGGCAATACACACACACACACACACACACACACACACACACACACACACACACACACACACACACACACACACACACACACACACACACACACACACACACACACACACACACACACACACACACACACACACACACACACACACACACACACACACACAGCCCTAGATTGGGTCAGGGAGGCCCAAGGCAGTGAAGGAAAGTCAGTCTCAGATCCGGCTGGCTGCTGGGGCCCATGTTGAGGCTTAGTTCCGTTTACACTGGCTCTAATTACTACCGCATGAGGAGGACCCTGCTTCAGATGAGTCTAATTCCTCCACAGGCTATTTGTCTTCAGATTTTTATTGAATGCCACTGGTTGGCCCTGGCATGACCTCTCCATCTCCTGCGCTCTCTCATAACTGCCATCCATACTGTCTCATATAGCTTAACATGACCAATATTCCCATAGTCACATGCAGGGCCGGCCCTAGACTTTTGGGGGCCCTAAGCGAGCTTTGGCTTGGGGGCCCCCCTCACTCTGGCGGGTTCTCCCTACACACAACACGGAACCAACTTTTGTCTTATGATGTTAGCATGAGCACACATATTGTATAAATAAGCAGGTAAACACTGTGGACCTAACTTCCTCTAGGGGGGGTCCTCATCTCCGCTAGGAGGGTCCGGGGGCATGCTCCCCCGGGAAGATTTTTTTTAAATAATGAAGTTAAAAGCATCAATCTGGTGCACTTTGAGAGCAAAATTAAGAGATCTATGGATACATCTCTCAACATCCATTTGAAACA